AGAATTTCCCCCTGGATCCCATTTACACCTAGCTCCGTATTATTATTTAAATTTTTTAATGCTACATCGAACTCTTCTCTTATTATTCGATAACCAAGCTCATCTGTCTCCACACTATCTTCCTTCTTTAATATATTTTCAAACTCATATCCTGATATAGGTTCTCTAAATATTCATTCCACCTATCTGCCTTTTCCTAATTTTTATAGATGACCCCTGCCTCGTTTCTTATATTATTACTACTGTACGTTACATTTTTAAAATTCCTTTTAATTGTATTATAAGCCTCATTGGTTTTACCTACTTCAAACTTTTCTTCTACTTCTTTACACCTCATATCAATTCACTGTTTCTTAGCTGCCTTTTTCTTCTTTGTCCTTCTACATCTGTCCTGTTTTTGTATTTCCGCCTTGTTTCTATTAATCCTAAAATCTCATTTGTTATCTAGGATTTCCTACTTTCGATTCGTTTAAGACCTAATATGTATGTACATAGCTGCTCACTTTAGGCACGTTTTAATGCAGTTTCATTCTGTCTCTATGTCCCCGTCATTCGTTTCTCCCGCCGCCTTTAGTATTTCGTCTGTCCTTGTATCTAGCCTATCACGCGTTTCGTTATATTTTAGCTTTTCTAAGTCAAGATGTCTCCTACCTTCCCTCTTTTTCAGAATTTTCCATTTAAGATTGGTCTTAATATCTACTAGTTATGGTCGCTATCTATATCTGCTCCTGGATAACTCCTACAGTCTTTCACTTGATTTTTAAATCTTTGCTTAACAAGTATGTAATCTAACTGCTATATCCCTAAATCACCTGGCATCTTCCACGTATAACACCTCCTAACGTGATGGTTGAATAAAGTATTCGCGACGGTTAAGTTATGTTTATCATATCACAAAATTCTATCAGTCTATCTCCCCTATCATTTCTACTGTCTAATCCAAAACAACCTGCAGTTTCACCGACTTTACCTTCACCTATTACTGCGTTGAAGTTTCCAACAGCTATTAGGTTTTCCTGCCCTTCCACTAAACTTAGCACATCTTCTTTATCTGCATAAACCGCTTCTACGTCTTCATCACTGTAAAATGATGTAGGCATGTAGAACTGTACTAATACCGTTTTTACCGGATTCGAGTTTAATTTAACCATAACTATCCTATAATTTTTTTGTAAATAACTTTCTGCGCTCTGCCCTACTTTCCTACGCATTACAATTCCTACCCCCGAATTACCTTCCACGGATTCTGTTTGCATTATTCTAAAGTCTTCACTCCAGAAGTCTCCAGTTCGGGTCAATAGACTTCACTAATGCCTACTATATCTAATTCTAATCTACCAACCTCAACTTTTAAATTTTCCACTTTCCCTACTTGCCTCATTGTCCTAACATTCAACGCTCCCACTCGTGAAATATTGCACCTACCCATATTGCACTTACTGATGACAGCCCCCAAGGTAGTCCCCTCCCGGACATCCGAATGGGGGACTAGTCTACGTCCGAAGTGCTTTACCCCAAATGATGCCATCATTTTAGTTTCGGTGTATTTTACTTGGAATATCATAATGTGGTTTCCCGTTGCCTTCCACATCGCCGTATTGTGCATCACAGTGCCATACCGATCCTCGTAATCTCTGCCATCCTGAGTAGTGAAAGAGCTGCTGCCCTCTTTCAAGGACTTGTCTTAGTCTGGTTTATCTTTAAGGACCTCCCCTCCCCCATTATGGTTAAACCTATCGCCCGGCTCCCTAAATCATCGTCGCAAGCCGATTCACCCACTCTAGTTCGTACAAAAGTTTCGTCAAGGTTCGCGTCCCTTCGAATCAGAAAAATGTGAAACGCTTCATGATTTTGCGTAGTATGAAAATATAAATACATTTTCAACCATTGCTTGCATCAAAATAGTCTTCCTGCAAAATTCAAACCTCTCCTTTGTAGGCATCTTAAAAATACTTTCACGGTCTGTATCAGGTCTAGTTTTCGTAATTTCATGCTCTATGTACAAAATATTCAAGTTGTTATACGTGATACGTGATAGACACGCAAGTCATATTAATAAGGGCGTTTATTAAGTTTTTGGTCAGAAATTATCGAAACCACTAGTCCAAAATTTAATGTACTAGAAGTTGGGCGCGGCGGAAAAGAAAAGGTTACAAGCGTTCAAAATGTGGTGTTACCGGCTAATGATAAGTATACCGTGGATAGAGAAGGTTAGAAATGAAGAGGTATTATAAAGAATAAGAGAACAGAGGACTCTATGGAAGTCAATAAAAAATAGGCGAGATAGGTTGGTAGGACATCTTTCAAGGCATGAAGGTCTAGTCAGGGACATATTGGAGGAAGAAACACGAGTAAAGAGAAGCAGATGTAGACCTAGATTAGATTACTGTTCGCAAATAGTTAAGGATGTGAGATGTTCTAGTTTTAGGGAAATGAAGATTATTTCAGGATAGGAAGGAATGGAGGTTCGTGTCCAACCAGTCTTAGGACTGACGAGCTTGCTTGATGATGATGTTATCTAATCATTCTTACAATTGATCACTGATAATGATTCGTTATTATGTCTAACGATATATAGTAAATAATAATTTTGAATTAATGATTTAAAAATTTTATTAAAATTAACTTTTTTTTGTCTGTTCCCAATAGACGTGCGCTCTTCCCGCGAAGTAGGATTTACGGGGATGCTATTTAGCTACTCTAAGGGCATATCCAAAGCATTGATTAATAATCGACAACAATCGCTACTTCTTTTCTACGGAAGGGTCTTGTTTTTTTTTACGTACGAAAAGAATTAGAAAATTCTTAAGTAATGTGATGACCCATATTTTTACAATATCTATGAAATAATTAAGGAAAGGTAGATTTTATAAGAACAAAGGTTTTCACGGCCGGAATCCATAGTAGAATGAAGATTCGGGCTATAGGACCGTGGTCTAAGTGAGCTATTCTGTCCAGACGTCTCGTCAGCTACTGCAGCTGACCTCCTCAGTGCTAGTACTGGGCCCAGTAGCTGTCGAAACTTCGAGATATAATCTACGTTCACGTTGTCATCGCAGCACTACTACTGAGGATGTCAGGCGCAGTAGCCGACGAAACGTCTGGACAGAATAGTTCACCTAAACCACTGCCCTATACCCCGAATCTTCATTCTACTAAAGGTAGATTTTGTTGCAAAGGTGTTTCTAGAAAGATTATTGGTCTACTGAAATAGAAATTACTAGTGTTGTTTGAATTATTCGTTAATTTATTCTTATTATTACGATTGTAAAAATTTGGACTATAATTAACAGAATTAACAAGTTTCTACCGTTTTTCTAGTAACATTTCGCGTTCTTTTTGAATAGATCCTTCTGCTGTTAATTCATGTTGCTGATAATTTCAAGATTGTTTATTGGCATATATGGAATATTATACGCTTTTCCGAAAAATATTATTTTAATGTAACACTAAGTGCTTCTCAAGTTTCTATTTTCTGTTTTCTGTACCTAACTTCATTAAAGGCTACTCCTAATGATTTCATTTTAATTATAGAAATGCCATCAGGATTATTCCGATTTAGATACGATTTAAAGAAATGTAGAAATTTTTTTTTATTTTCTTCAGACATGATCGAATAATAAATTAATCAGTACCCTTTCGGAAAAATACTAATTAGGGTAAGAAAGGACCTAGGTACCTTTTACTTGTGATTGGATTCCCAACGTCTTATAGTCCAGAAAATATTCTTAGAATTAGTCAATTCTTTTGCACAGTCCCCTTTAAACAAATCAGCATATTGTAGGTCTAAAAGTAGTCCAAAAGTTTAAACATTTTTTTAAATAAATTACAAAATTTGCTTGTCTTGCTCCAGAAGACAAATTTAAGATTTGTGGACCATTTGAACAAAAAAACTGTCCTGTACACATTCGCTTGTCTATTGATAGTTTTTAGAATATAAATTATTTAGAATTCGAAAAAACGTAAAAGTGGTATTTTCAATCCTGAATAACAATACGAAAAGTTAAAAATTAAAAAGTGCTTAAATGTTTTTTGAACATCCCTTAACAAAATCCAAAACGTATTAAGCGATCATGTTATTAATACACTTTTGCAGTTTGTTAAGGAATGTTTGAAGGATATTTAAGTACTCTGGGAACAATAAAATTTTTGGTTTTTCAGTGATGAAAATGACTAAATATATTTACAACATTTCGAGCCCTAAATAATTTATATCTCGAAAATTGATATGGGCATCACTCAGAGTTAGTGTTGCCCCGAATATGCAACTGAAAAATCACTATCGCTCCCGCAGTGGAATTCTGAACGTATCGTACAGATGGAAGGGAATCATTTTTACTCCCAGTGCAGTGTGCTTTATAAAAATCGTATATCATTTTGTCCCACGTAGGCAACCCAACATATAGTGTCACGTGTAGGCAACCCAAGATACTTACTGGCAAGAAAGACCAGATTTTATAGAAGTCACATTTTGGATCTTTACAGAACAAGGCCAGCCCCTATGAATAGTTTACGCTAGGTTTAAGTTACGAGATGATACAAAGCGAACTATAAAGAGCGAAGATGCAACAAAGTATGCGATATAGTGGTTAATTAATAATTAATTAATAATAGCGGTGTTAATTAGAGAGTAGACAGAAAAGTATTTTATTGCGTGACAATATTCTTGAATGAGGAAAAGTTGTTTTAATATTTTATTCATTTTTCTGGAACAGCGTCCCTATTAATTTTAGCTATTAGCTGCCATCGCCACTCAAACCGAACCTATATCTACATTTATTTTGCTAATTGCAAATTAATAACGTAGGGTGTAATATAATCATGAAATGTTGAAAAAATTTAAATTTGTCTTACGATTAATAAACATAATCTTACCTTATATTTTACGGATACAGGTATCGTTATTTACTTCTATATTTTTTAAGGAGAGTAGAAAATATTATCTATAGGTACTTCAGAAATTTGTCAACATTGGTCACTTTTCATAATTTATGTTTCAGCTGGACAATCCCCATTTTCATAAAAGGCTTCAAGAAAGTGTTAGAAGAAGAAGATTTATATGGCCCATTAAAAGATCATGAATCAAACTATCTAGGTAATAAGCTGGAGTGTGCATGGAAAAAAGAAGAAAACAATAAAAAATCCTCTCTATGGAGAGCCCTGTTTCGTGTGTTTGGATTGAGAATAGTGTTCCTCGGTTTTGTTTCTTTATTTCTGGAAGTGTTTGTAAAGTAAGAATTTAATAGTACCTTATACTAATGGCAGAGCCATTAATCTTAATATTTAAGTAAAGTTTTTAAGAATTCATGATTAATTTTCAAGTATCAACGTTCTATAACATTTTAGTTATCCTTCGAAATCACGAAAGCATGAATTAAAATAGTAGCAACAGTTTTTTGCTAATAATATTTTTTACTAATTGCTGATGTAGATTAGTCGCATATTTAAAAATTCCGTGTATTAAAATTTATAAAAGAATTGGTTCAAAAAATTCGAACTTGGGCGGGTTCAATTTCTATATATTTAAAAAGAGTTGCATGAATAAGACGTTAATAAATTGGTACATAAATAAATATGTAGTTATAATAATATTAGGTTTTACCCGTGGCTTTGTTCGCGCTGATGTCCTAAATATGAGTTAAAGATCATCGACGACCACATAAACTATTTTTTTTTTCGTGTAATGTCGTAAAACCTAGCATAAGCGTTGAGACGACGTTTGATTTCATTGCCCATACAATCAGAAAGCTTGAAGCTACCATCACTCGTTGGTAAACAATCGCCTACAAAGGCCAGTTTTCATTAGTAGTGTCATGCTTATGTCGTACTCGTGCCGCGCTTTTGTATAGAATCGCCTATGCGCAGTTTTACATAAAATTACTTGAGGAAACCACATTTTCATTTTTACTAGAAGTACTGTGTTCCTATCGTAATGCTATCGTGTCATAACCGTCTGTCATCAATCACTTGTAGAGGCGATTTGCGCCAGAGTATGTTAGTAACATGGTGGGCTTAACTAAAACTGCAATATGGGCGCCTTAGCCCAAAATTACGATTGTCGATGAGCGCTAACACGAGGTACGGCTACCAAATCTTGCTGATGGAAGCAGCCGAACAACGAAATGTATCGCGAGAATACATGGTTCGTGAATGAGGGACATAGGTGAGTGATGAATGCACCACCATGGACGAAAAACTATGTATTCTCGTATGAGACCATCCTGCAATCTACGATTTATCTCATAAGGATTATGACAATCACCTAGTAAGAAACAATATCTGTGTAATGGATGTACCCAAAACCGTTTTATCTTCCGGATCTTCGTTTTCTTGTGCTTTAAAAGAATATACGTGGAATAAACTATCACAATATCCTCCTCGTTTTGATCCATCTCACTTACTGACACCCTGAGATTTTTGCTTAATGGTATAAACAAGGTATGAACACAATCGTATAAATAAAAATGCAATGCAAAACGACACTATGCGAAGGCAGTAAGAGCACTACATGACTGCGATACTAATAATGAAAACTGACCTACCAAAACAGTAATTTTTACCGAACTACATAGTCTAACGGTCTAGATCTCTAGATCATTTGAGAGGACACCAATTGGATTCTGGTCACCGTTTGCTCTAATTCAATTTATCTATAATAGTCTATATTTAATCTGTGATATCTAAGAATGAAAGTCGACGGTTCCTTCATTCAAGAGCTGTACCCTAATATAAAAACACATACTCATATTCACTTTTCATTTCGCTACATAATTTCTGCACCCACAAAAGCCAGTCTGTTATTATTTCAATCACTCCTTATATTATATTAGCATCTAACGACATTTCTCTATTCGTTTTCACTCAACTTCTTTTCTGTAAATAAATTCTGTTTTTTTTTTCAATAAAGCGTTTTCTTTAACGTACATAATCACCCACAAATCTGTTACTTCTGCTTCGAAAGGGGGACAGAAGAGGATTTCCTCTCTATTTTTGCATTTAGATCCTAATATATCATGGTGCGTAGTCGTGTTGTGTATAATGTGACGAAAGTGGTTAATAAAATGTATCAAACAGTTGATTTGTCTTAAAAAAACTACATATCTACGAAGCTTCTTGTAAGAATTACGTTGTGATAATTCGTAAAATAAGGATAAGTCTAGAGATGTTCTCTTCATATTACGACTGGTTTTCTTTTAACTAACAGGTTTTGTACCAATTATTGGGATGCATTATTACGGAATACAAAACTTTTAATATATCTTGAAAAAAAATTGGCAGATGACCGTCACTATTAACAGCAGCTATTACTTTTTTATTAGCTCACATGCAATTTCTCATAAATTAATACTTAGGATTATTATTTCTTAATTGCTGCCTTCGACTTCTTACATTTACAATAACAACACATTCTTTTCTTATCTTACGTATAATACGTTGTCTTATGCAGCTTCAGCAAATAGTAATTACGTACAGCTTGTGAATAAAATTACAAGTTGTGCAGCAGGCTCTGTTGTCAATTTTTAACGGAGACTTATCAAAATAGTTTGGTTTGTATTGTCATTTCATGATCATTTCCAAATAATATTACCTTAAAAATACCTAACCAATCTTGCATCTGACAACGTTATGCCGTTCGGATTCATCTACAACCCTATACTAACTACTAGTATCCGACCGAAAGTTCAGTTTCGGTTTCGGTTTCGATCGAGTTTCGACAAACAAACGAGTTTCGGTGTAGTTTCGGTCTCGGCAGCTAACCTGCCCAAACTACAACCGAAACCGAAACTGCGTTCGGGAGTTCTCGCGATCTGCTCGGTCATGTTCGGCGCGATAAATTCCATCCAAGCGAAGTATACTATAGTTACTCAAATAAACATCTCACCTATTTTAAGTATTTTTAAGGCGCAATTAAAGTATTTCCTTAAATGAGGGGTTGTTATGTTGATTTTGATTTGATTATCAATAACTGAAAATATCAAAGACTGCAGAGCTATGTGATTTAAAGATAAAAAAATAAAACTGACTGATTATAATAACGTCTTTTTTATTTTCTCTCAAAACATGGTCCTTATAAGGAAGTTTCGGTTTCAGTTTCGGTTTCGGCCGAAACTGAGACCGTTGCCGAAATTCGGTTTCGGTTTCGGTCGTAAAAACCTGTTTCGGTCGGACACTACTAACTACAAACTGTTGTCAATATAAAGCGACCCTAATTTAATGATGAGTTTATTACTGTCTGTTGTTAGGAGAAATTAATATGCGGTTTTAAAAAAACTCCACGCTCAATAAAACAACTAAGTATATTTTAAAGAAACGCTTATCCATAACAAAAAACAACCGCCCATTGGCAAAGCTAAACACCTAATATCTTTTTTAACCAACTCTGTATCCTATATTAAATGAAGTCCTTGTCTCAGCCGAATTTGTCGGCACCCCTCCCGACCCTCTAGACTAAACATCGCTCCGATCAGGTATCGGGAACCGCTGCTCTTCCGCGTCCCTTACACTGTTATTTCGAAATTTCGCTAAATCTAATTACAAAGTTACGATTAATAATACGAATAATTACGTATAATAGAATTCAGTTTTCTACCGGAGCACAGTTGTTCATTTTACTGGGAATCCCCGACCATAGGCCGACGTAGCAGTTGACTGCATAGTTCTTTAGCCAACTCCTACCTGTGTAACAATAATTCGACGTAGCAAGCTGATACAACTGCTAGTGATGAGCTTATAACTTCTTCAAAAAATAAATTTGAAGTTATATTTTGCAACAGTCTTTTGGACACTACCATAAATTCGCTCAATGAAACATTTGAACAGTTAAATGAATACTCGGAATCTTGGCCTTATTTGTACAATACAAAAAAAATTCCAAAAAAACAGACCTTCTTAAACTCTGTAGTGATCTCTAATTGAAATTAACTGTAGCCTCTAAATCAGATATAAATGGTTGTATGTTGTGCGATAAATTCATAAGCCTAAAATAATTTGCCCTAATCAGAAGATGGTTATTCGTGTCTTTATTTTAAATTTTATCAATATACCTGTAACTGTGGCTTGTGGGAAATGGAGTTTTTCTAAGCTTAAGCCCTTAAAACCTATCTGCGATCGACAATATCTCAATTTAGATTAAAAACTCCGGGACTTTCCCCGTCTCGTAAATGTGACTAACTAGCTTAAACATACGATATCTAATCTCTTGTCCTGAATGTTTTAAAATTTCCACCTGTATCCCATCTATACCTGGTGCCTTATTATTCTTTAAAATTTTTAATGCTACATCGAACTCTTCTCTCATTATGGGATAACTTAGTTCATATATCTCCACACTATCTTCCTTCTCTAATATATCTGCTATGAGCTAGCATATAGGTTCTCTAAGTATTCTTTCCACCTGTTTGCCTTTTCCTCATTTTCTATTAAAGTGACCCCTACCTGATTTCTTATATTATTTCTACTGTACCCTACTCCTCTAAATTCCTTTTAATTATATAAAAAAAAATATTAAACAAATCGGTACACATGGTAATGTATTAAATTGTTACAGTTTTACTGATCGCTTATTTTAAACAATTTATTGTTAAATAAATTNAACACCTAATATCTTTTTTAACCAACTCTGTATCCTATATTTAATGAAGTCCTTGTCTCAGCCGAATTTGTCGGCACCCCTCCCGACCCTCTAGACTAAACATCGCTCCGATCAGGTATCGGGAACCGCTGCTCTTCCGCGTCCCTTACACTGTTATTTCGAAATTTCGCTAAATCTAATTACAAAGTTACGATTAATAATACGAATAATTACGTATAATAGAATTCAGTTTTCTACCGGAGCACAGTTGTTCATTTTACTGGGAATCCCCGACCATAGGCCGACGTAGCAGTTGACTGCATAGTTCTTTAGCCAACTCCTACCTGTGTAACAATAATTCGACGTAGCAAGCTGATACAACTGCTAGTGATGAGCTTATAACTTCTTCAAAAAATAAATTTGAAGTTATATTTTGCAACAGTCTTTTGGACACTACCATAAATTCGCTCAATGAAACATTTGAACAGTTAAATGAATACTCGGAATCTTGGCCTTATTTGTACAATACAAAAAAAATTCCAAAAAAACAGACCTTCTTAAACTCTGTAGTGATCTCTAATTGAAATTAACTGTAGCCTCTAAATCAGATATAAATGGTTGTATGTTGTGCGATAAATTCATAAGCCTAAAATAATTTGCCCTAATCAGAAGATGGTTATTCGTGTCTTTATTTTAAATTTTATCAATATACCTGTAACTGTGGCTTGTGGGAAATGGAGTTTTTCTAAGCTTAAGCCCTTAAAACCTATCTGCGATCGACAATATCTCAATTTAGATTAAAAACTCCGGGACTTTCCCCGTCTCGTAAATGTGACTAACTAGCTTAAACATACGATATCTAATCTCTTGTCCTGAATGTTTTAAAATTTCCACCTGTATCCCATCTATACCTGGTGCCTTATTATTCTTTAAAATTTTTAATGCTACATCGAACTCTTCTCTCATTATGGGATAACTTAGTTCATATATCTCCACACTATCTTCCTTCTCTAATATATCTGCTATGAGCTAGCATATAGGTTCTCTAAGTATTCTTTCCACCTGTTTGCCTTTTCCTCATTTTCTATTAAAGTGACCCCTACCTGATTTCTTATATTATTTCTACTGTACCCTACTCCTCTAAATTCCTTTTAATTATATAAAAAAAAATATTAAACAAATCGGTACACATGGTAATGTATTAAATTGTTACAGTTTTACTGATCGCTTATTTTAAACAATTTATTGTTAAATAAATTAAGTTATATAATAATAAATCACAGAAGAATTAAATTTTCTGAAAGGTACATATTATTAATCGCTCTTTTCTTTTGTATTATAGAATAGCGGAGCCTTTAGCTTTAGGGAAGTTACTGGATTTTTATACCACAAAAGATACTCATGTTACCAGAAACGAAGCATATATTTATGCGTGCGTAATAGCAGGAAGTTCTGTACTGTACGTAATCATATCTCATTTATACGCTATGGAAAACCAGCATTTAGGTATGCAAATGAGAGTTGCAGTCTGTTCGCTAATCTATAGAAAATCGTTGAAATTGAATCAATCGGCCTTTGAAGAAGTCAGTACTGGGCAACTGGTAAACTTGTTATCTAATGATGTGGATAGATTCGATTCTCTGTTGCTACATATTCACAGTTTATGGTTATGTCCCGTTGAAATCGTAATAATTATTATACTTATATATTTTCATGTCGGATTCACAGCAACTTTAGGATCCATATTTCTTGTTATCTTCTTACCAATACAAAGTAAGTATGAATCACATTTTTTTAATGAGTTAGGTAAATGGCACTATTTCAAGATTTAATACATAATTGCACAAAAATACAACAATAAAATAAAACAATAACATGTAGTTTTAGGTTTTCGCAAATCAAAAATTTATTTTAATTCGTTATCAGGTTAACCAAGGGTTCATTTTATAGATTTTTCAATTCTCTACAACTTTTGTACCTGTAGTAGTCAAAACTATTTTCTTGTTGGCTTTCGCCACAGAAAGTAGAAACTATATTTCTCGCATTTTTATAAGCAATAATTCTGATGTTATAATTATATACATTTTCATCTATGGGTCATGCTTTAAAACCCTGCACAGTCTGATACCTATTGGTTTTTATTGTAAAAATAGCTAGTTTCAAATCTCTATTCCCTGGTCTACAAGAGGCTTCCAATTCGTTGATTTTTTTAAATATATTAAGTTGATGTTTTAATAGTAAGGCACTTAATGGTCGTATTCCAATTAATTTTCTACAAAACTATTATTAGCTATTTGTCAAACATTATTATTACCTATTTTGTTACTTATTCTAACTGCAATTCCATTCCGATAAAATTGTTTGAATTTTTCAGCGTTAAAAAATTTCAAAAATGATGTTCACTTTTTTTTAGTTTTACTATTAGATTTTTTGAGTTATTAGATATATATTTTTTATATGTAGATACAACCTTTTACAGTTTATTTAATCAATGAATTGATCGATAAAGGTAATTTGTTTCTAGTTTGTTTGGGAAAAAGAATTTCTCTGTATCGTTTGAGAACTGCATTAAGAACAGATGAAAGAGTAAGACTGATGGGTGAAATAATTTCGGGAATAAACGTTATAAAAATGTACAGCTGGGAATGTTATTTCATGAAACTAGTAAAATTTATCAGAAGGTGAGTAAAATACAGCTGAACCATCGAGAGATGGCCCCTGACTTTCACTTCCGGCGCAGATGATAAATAGGAATAGCATTTGACTAGAAAAGGATGTCGCTCAAGCTCGGAAGAAATATCGAAATGCACAAGAAGTTGGTCAATGAGAACAGACTATTTACTCCAACTTTTTGTGTTTTTATTCTCTTTATTTAATCGTCCACTATATTAATTATGGAAATTACTGCCGGACTAGTTTGTGTGCGCCGAATTTTTAACTCGAAGAAGAGTTTACAGTTTATTTCAAGTAGTTAGAGATGTGACCTTGAAGGAATCTGCGCGAAGATAGAAAGAATACACACTAGGGGTGAGCAAGACAGAAATAGTTGGAACAAGCTTGAACGAGCAGAGCTCTCGATGGGCGGTCTTAGGAGATCGGCTAGAACTGTACAGTACTAGACGAAAATGTTTAGCAATTTCTTAAAACAAAAATGTAT